ATCTTAGTCTTATTGTCCTTTCGTCTAGCTCTTCTCCTGCTGGCTTGTTTATGACTACAGTATATTTATAAAAAGGAACTGTGCTGCCTGCTAACCTTTGTTTTGCTAAACTAAGCAAGCCAAATGCTTCTAAATGCTTGATATACTCTTTCAAGCAGACTCTTCCATCTGCTTGATCAGTTTAATAGCACTTTTCTGCATGTGATCAGCTTACAGCTTTTCTTTCTTGAGCTAGAGAGACGAAAATAATCGACAGCATTATGTCTGAAATTTACTTATACTTAATGTGCAATAAGATTTTTTTTTTCTTACTGCAGTTCCATGCTAGTAACTAATGCCTACACATCTTTCCATTGGGTTTTTGCCCATCTGGGTTTTTTTTCCATCTGCATTTTTGACAGATGGATGTTATTAGTCTATAAATAAATGACTTTGGGCATTTATTTGTTAACTTTGAGATATATATATATATATGTATATTAATTACAGTCATATGCCATTCTTTCTTCAGGATATTTTGGTCCTTTGTACCATCTATATATTTTATGAACATATACGTACTATTTTGTGCCAACTTAATGAAAATTCTACTTTAGATTCACTCTTCCTTTCAGAATGCTGCAATTAGCTAGTTCCCATTAGTTTTTCTTCATTAACTGCCTGTCTCTCCTTTACTCACACTGTAAATCTAGCAGTATTAAGACCCACCTTCTCCAGGGTGACTTGTTAAAAAATATCTGGTACTGAATTCTGCATTTCAGTCAGTTGTTTCTGATTTCTGTGATGGAGAATATCTGATCTGACCATTATCAGCTCAACAGATCTTTGATTTTTATGTCCATCTCATTTGTGGCTGTTTTCTGATCTTCCATCTTCATTGTGCTCCTGTACCTATGACACCTTTCAAACATACTTTCAGTAGAGATTCAATACTAAATGAATCTATCTAAATTACCCCTATGCTTAGTTCCGCCCTCCTCTTCCCCCCCCGCTTAATTCTCCTGTTGCTTGGTGGGTTTGGGGTTTTTTTGGTACTCTTTGTTTCCTTTGTAGGATGTAACTCAGTTTGTATTTTGGCATTTTACTTGATCCCTATACTTTCTGACTTGAAAAACATGACTTTCCCTTCAGAAATTGAGATATCTATGAAAAGCTTCTATCATTTCATTATAAAAACAAAACAAAACAAAACAAAGCCCAAAACAACTATTCCGCTCCAACTGTAGTTCACAAAATTTTCAAACTCAGCCAAATCAAAATCAATTTTTACTAGGACCCAGTTTAGCATCTCTTTTGCCCAAGGGCTGTTTCCCTGCCAAGCTGCTGCTTTTGCTCCAACCCATTTCAACATTCTTCAGATTGTTCGAAATTCAAATATATATGAATCAACCTGGATGCATATACATATAAAAGGTAGAAAAAAAAAAGTAGTATTACCAGTCAGTTCCTAATGCAACATGCTCTGAAGACCAAACTGTCCTCTCTCTTCCAGTTCTACCCCTAATACTCTGAGGAGACTATTTCAGGTACATGTGGAAAGGAAGTCAAGTGCTACAGAGACATCTATAGACATCTATCTTCTAGACAAGCAGAGGGTTTTCCTCTCTAGTTATAATTAACCTAACAAATATTCTTAAAGACTATTATGCAACCAAAGTATTGGTTACTATACCCAAAGCTGAGAAATCTCTATAGCATACTTGGAACATTCATGTGGCTTAGAAGTTTACATAAGTAAAGTTGGTCCTTTTTTAAAAAAGTTATATAAACAATAAATCTCCTTTGAACAGGTGAGATTCTGCAAATAAGCAATTTTAAGTACTTTTACTATCAGCAATCCCTTTTCTTTTGGGGATTTGGGTATGATATGAAAGTTGTGTTCTATAAAATGAAAGCCAAAAGAAGGGCCCTCTACCACAGCAGTTACTGCACCTCATTAAAGTAATACTAAATCTTACTTAACATGGTCACTTCTAGTTTCTGTACTGCTAATTTTGCTTTTTAGCCCTCAGCTTCAAATAAGAATCTGTTCAGAGCCACTTCATTATATATTCTATGCTCTATCCTAGCTTCCTGCGATATTAGAGCTAAGCAGTAGGCATGTTGCTAGATTAGAGCTACGATGTAGGAAAATATGTTTGTTCTAAAAGAAGCTGGTAGGAGGATGAGCTCCTAGGCTGGGCAACAAAGGGGAAAAACGAGAAGGGTGAATACATCTGCAGGACAGGTCTAGTCCAGCATCTTTGTTCAGAGAGATTATGTTACCTATAAGAATTTAGCAGCTCTTGCAATTACACTGGCACACCACGTCGGAGAGGTGAGCAGTAACAGTCTGTAGCTGATTTGCCAAAAACTGGTGTGCTAGAAACAGCCTGGATTTTATTAAAGGTCTTGGCTCACGACAGCAACAAGACTGTAGTTCAAAGCCTGTCTTTAACATCACATATCAAGATTTCTGACTGTCTGAAAGAAAAACTCTTGAAAAATGACTGGATTACTACATTGAAAAAACATGAGTAAGATTTCTCAATTAAGAAAGTAGTAGTAATTATTCTGTTTGGGTCAGCCTGGGTGGGTTGGCTAATTAGCAAGAGTAATATACCCATGTGACTGGCCTGGAGTGTGGGTGAGGTCCCTGGAATCACCAGGTGATAACTACTTTAAAAAAAAAAAAAAAATGTGTGGGTGGTAAAGTCAGGACAGCTGCAGTCGGTGACTAGAGGGAGAGAAATGCATCTTCAACAGATGATGCACAAAGGCTGAACTTTCAGGCAAGTTTCTATAAGGTTCATTGAAAGCTTAAGTTAGGATAAATAATTTGTCAGGTGGAGAAAGATGCAGGTTGCATCAATATTGGTGTCATGTCAAGTCAGTAGCTGCTGCGTGTGATAAAGCCCACAACTGCTTCAGCATAAGAACAAACTGCAGACTTACTTTGGCCCCCAGGCATGGAGGAAGCAGAGGACTGCCAACTGTTGCTTTAACAGTAAAGTAGATGTGAATTTAAATCTCCAGCCTGTATTTTCAGTTTCTGAATAAAATAAACACTCATATTCTTCTTAGTCCTCCTCTGGCTAATAAAAGGAGATATAAAGAGAGCTATACAGATTGTTTTATGGCTCTTTGTATGGCTAGGGAGCTTATCACGTGGTATTGGTAGGAATGTTCACTAAAGAATATGCATAGTTTCTGCTCTCTAGCAAAAGTGAGATGATCATTTCAGTCCTCCAGAAAGAAGCAATGGGAGGCCCGTGAACACAGATATTCCTACTTTCCCTTTAAGAGCACACTTAATGTGTCATACTACAACACCAAAGGAGAATAGCAGGCTCTCTCAGTAATAATGAACACGCAAATGCCCCAAGGGCGTACAAAGGAAGGTGCCAGATACATCAGAATAATTGTACTAGAATTGGAAAGGAGCTGGTTCCTTCAGGGCAACATTTTGAGTTTTCCAGTCTCTGCGCTAATTTCTTCAGTATCCAGAGAGTTCCTGATGTATATACACATTGCTTCAGTGAACTCCAATGCATTATACAGAGCAAATACCACACATATTTAACATGCCACCAAAACATGCATTGGATAGAAGGTTAGCTTTTACATGTGGTTCAGAAAATCAAAGGAAGGAGACAAACAAAAGAGAAAAAACACTAACCCACCCTAAAGCAATTTAAAATTTTCTGGTGGCAGTGTCTTTCCTTATGAAATGCTCTGCTTTTCGTTCATCTTTCCATTGGTGCGTACCAAGAACTATGTAGCTAGGTCAGTTGTTAGAAGGAGCAGAATTTCCCATGTTCATTTTGTACATACGATTTTTACCCCTACTTTGGTCTTCTTTCTGAAGAAATTCTTCTGAATAATTTTGAGTTTTGAACCTGTCGTACTTCTTTTTGTTTATGGCTGCAATAGCGTTGATGTCTTGCAACCTTTAAAAATTACCATTTTCAGATTGCTGTGTAGGGGTTCTTATCATTAGGAGATTTATTTCTACAGTTCTAAGATCAAATAGAAATCTATCAGAACAAATCAGCAAATTTTGCAAGAAACATTTTTCATTATTTTACATTTACTATTTAATACATTCTAGGCTTTTTCCCTCTTGACAGATTGCAATTTAATTTCTAGATCCTTTAAAAACACAACTTATTATGTCCAGTGATTTCACATATTTCTCTTTTTAAAATATTAGAGATGGGCCCAAGGCAAAGCTTGGATTCAAATGCTTATGTTCCCAGAGGGTGTTCTACTCCAACATTTTGGTTCAGGCCCATCTCTTCCCCTGGACAAGTATATTGTTGAAAAGGATACTGCCAAATAAATCTCCTTTTTTTGAAAAGTTAAGTATTACATGTGTTTCTAATAACATGTCAGATGGAGTAGCATGAAATAATTTCAATTATTTTCATTATTTGTTTGTGGTTTTTGCTTCCTCTTTTCATTTTGCTTCAGCAAAACAGCTAACCTAGAATAGTCTATCTCCGGTTTCATTTACAGTTAAAGAATCAAAGTGAAACTACCACTAAAACAATTCTGCAGTGTCAGTGCTTCCAGCTGCAAAGGAATTTAATTGTAAATAAATTACTTTTTAAATTACACAAAGGTATCTGTTGAAGTCTACTTTCTACTCAGTCTATCCTAAAAAGAGATCAGAACCAATGTGATCCAAAAAAAGTGCTTCAAGGTACAAGAAATGAAGGAGATAGAACATGCACAAATAGCCATGAGCACTCCTGAGGAAGGCTGTCCTTGTGTCATGGTCATGTGCTGCAAAGAGAAAGCAAATTTTTTTCAGAGCTCAACTTTGGATTAGTCCAGCATTCATATGTCATGGTAGGCAGCAACTAAACTAGAAAATGTTATCTGGAATAAATTAAAATTATGTTCAGTCCCAATCCAATAAGGAGATTTCTAATGAAAATAAAGACAAATTAGTGGAAAATTGGAACTGAGCTACTCTAATTATTTTTCTCTCTTCTGTTTTCAAATGTATTTTCCAGAGTGGATCACTAAAGGAGCCAGAGCCAAACAAAATCCCACCTCAGCGACCACCACCTCAAGGTTGTTTACAGTACATTCTCGACTGTAATGGCGTTGCAGTAGGACCAAAACAAGTCCAGGCTACTTAGACAATTGAGAATAAAACCAGGGGTTAAAGCAAAAATAATAATTAAAAAAAGGAAAAAAAAGAAAGTACAATCTTAAAAGCAAACATACCAGTTTTGTTCAGTTTTTGCATTGTTTCAGTGCTGACCTGGACTGTGTTTTTACTATGCACTGTCAACTATAGCGTCTGGTTGTTTACCTGTTCATGTCTGTGCGTGTAATGCTTACCTACCTTTCTCTGTAAAACTTGTGATTTCAGGGCTGTTGTCAACAGTGTACAAAGAATGTGCCTCTTTAGAGCTCAGTGCAACTGTACATTATGGGTGGTTAGACAGTATTTTTTGAGTATTATATATCATTAAGTAAAATACAACTGAGGTTCAAATCTAAATACTTTTGCTTACTCTGTGAGTGTGTGCGCACTATACCCATAGTCTTTATTTTTTTGTGTGTGCATGACTAATAGGCAGGTGATCCAGATATATTTTTAAAAGTCTAGATGAGAATTTGCTAGTGAGGCTTTTTATTTATAATTTTATAAAGTTTGTTAACATTTGAGGTTAATTTATATGGAAGAAGTGCAACTCTAGTATTTCAATGACTCCATAAGATATGATACTGTTTTTCCCAAGGAATATTTAAATATCTTCTATTTTACATACTGTATTCATATTTTTAGTAATTCTGCATTAAATTATTAGCTACAAAGCTATGTAAATGGGCCACCTATGTGCAATATCTCCGCGAAAGTGTGAGCATGTATCTTATTTCAGTTAACTAGTTCCTTTTGTTGTTATTCTGATTTAGTAATCTATGGTGATTTTATTGAAAACTAATGCAAATACTTCCAAAATATTTTATTCACCTAAGGATTAACTTCCAGATATTTTGGTGGGAAGTTGCTCAAGGATGGTTAAACTTCCTGTAATAGCTCATTTTTTAAATTCAGAGGTGCTGGGAGATCGCAGACCAAGAGACCTTTAACCAAGCTGGGGATCTAGCCCTTTGGTTGGAATGGAAGACAGAATGCCTGCTGTTTCCTTTACCAACTCACCAATCTTAACTCAATGCTAAGATACCTATAAAGAATATTGTATTCCAGGATAATCCACATAAACAGGGCTTATAATAATTACTTTAAATCAATCATGCAAAAATATTTGAGATGCCTGACAACTGCTAGATTTTCTGTAGCTATATTATTTATGACTTCTACACAACAAATTGAGTCTGTAAATATTACAGAAATATTTTAAAAATATACAGGCAGGCTGTTGTGAACAACCCAGCCTAGACACAAAAGCTAGCATACCATAAAACTTAGTGGTGAGTGAGCCACAAAACTGCAATTTTAATTTAGCATATGTACAAAGAGGACTAGTAACCAGTAGTTTTGTGCAAAGAATTTTGTGTAAAGGGAAAAGGGCCTTATGTTCTACTTT